TTACTTAACTGGGGAACTTCCAAGCCACATTATGTTCATCTGATGGTAGAATTTATCTCCTCAGGCAACAAATTTGGGGACCAGAATTTATACACCAAGAGATTTAATTCCACTGAAGGGTAAATTAAGGTGGATTTGTAATGTCTTTGTTTATCCTAAAAAATTAAATATATTGAAAGAAGTTGAAAGCAGATTTAATTTAAAAGAAAAGTAAGGCCATTATATAAACAGCAGCAGATCTCATCCAGAATATGTCACATAAATATCATACTATCAAACAAGAAATGTAAATTATCATACATACGCTATAATTGAAAAGTGTATTATACATTAGTGAAGTCACCCATTTATCTAATCATAATCAGTTCCAATAAAATCTCATTTAGGAAAGTTGAATGTAGTTCAGGGTGGATGGTTATGAGGATATCAGTCATGTGAGTATGCACCAAAACAGTTTTGAAATAGAAATCCAATTATTGCCTACCTCATCTGAAAGGAACTTTCTCTGATAAGGGCTGAAACTGTGGCATTCAGAACTACCATAAAAGTAAAGCAAGTGTACTGAGTAATGGCTTTAAATGTTTTAAAAAATTCTTTCATGAGATATTTGCAAGAAGTCAGTACAAGAATAACATGGTGTTTTAATGTAAGAGAGGCTTTAAAAGCAGAGGAAAAACCCTGATATGTCATTTGAAAGTTCTGATAACTTACAACAGATTGGATCCAAACCTCTGGACTGGTGATAAATCCAACCTTTCAGCAGTAGAAGTTCTAATTTACCAAACATCTGCAAGTCTGTTGCAAAAGGTGCTGAAGCACAATTTTCTATCACTGCTGCTCTTCTGCTGTAGCATTTTAGGTAAAAAAGTCTCCAGACAGGAGAAAGAAGTGGTTTTGTTGAGCTTTTTGACATAAAAACCAACAAAACAGACAAATTTTTCTATCCATAAATTGCAAATGATTTATGGAAACATTTGCTATCTTGATTTCAATAGCATTGCTGGTGACTTAATCCAGCAGTAAGGTAATCTGAATAGAATGTGTCATGACTGCAGCAGAAGAAGCAGTTCATGGTGAATATGTGATTTGGTATCATGAGCCTCTTCTGAAGTTAGCATTAATGGTTTTTTATTCTGTTTCTCCATTTGTTGTTCAAAGCTACTCATCTATTTACTCATATTAATTTATCTTAACCTATGGATTATTTATCACTCTACACCTATCACTCTTCCAACATGGCTGCCTCAGCTATACTGATTTCATCTCTTCTACATGCTCCAAAATTCAAATTTTCTAAAGAGCTGGTCCCCACTCGTGAATACTCACATATGTGCATATGGACATCAATATTTACATGCAGATGTATTCAAACCATTTGTGAATGGGCCAGTAGCATAGAGAGTTACAACCCACATATCTACATGGTCTTTGTTAAAATGGGTTACAAGAAGATAGAAAACAAACTTGAGAAAAAGAATATCCACATATCCTCTTGATTTTTCTTTGGTACTTACTATGCTCCCGTTATCAGTACCCACCAATATCCATGAAATCCTGCAATTCCACCATATTTCTTACATTGTGATTTGCTTGCTTCTTCCCAAAATCCAGTGGTTTTGAACAAAGGGGCTTCTTCAGAAACCTGTGGGGGAAAAAAAACCTGGTTTAACTAACCTGTCTTCGCAGGTTTTTGCTGATTTGCTCGGCTAGATGTGCAACCATACATACATGCAATTTATCCAATTTTAATAATTTAGAACAGACTAGGGCATTTAGAACATAACCATGATGATCCACAGGAGTGATCAGGATACCTTATTCCCATTTCTATGTTCTGTTGCAATATTTAAAAGTAGGAGAGAGCTAATTTACAAGCTTATAGTGTGTTTTAATAAGGGAATTACCAAGGAGTTTTCAACCACATGTAGATGGAAACCAGACTGAACATTATACTTGCAAACATTTCCTGTTTAAATTGACTCTTGACTAGATATTGGCCATCTCCCACCTCTCTGCACCTCTTCAATTCGATTAAATGTGGACACCTCCAAAACTCCATATGCAGCTCTGTAAGAATTCACTGTGGTATCACTCATTTCCATTTCCAAGTAGGCTTGTCTGTGGCTTGATTGACCTGATCCAAATTATCTGCTGTGCTCACTCTCCAGCCTTGAGACCATCTACGTTGTGTGACGCTGCTGGGAGACGTCCTCTGCAGTCACTGATCAAACCCAAGTGAAGCTGAGAAACCCTGTGTGCCTTCATATATCTCACTTCAGAGATCCATCATCCACTTCTCTCCCTAAATCCTGCTGTTCTTCCTGCTGTTCTCTTCTCAAACTGTGGGAACACAGACCTCAGGTGGAGGAATGACATGCACAGCATTTACAAATACTGCCTACAAACCCTCTGAATTAACAAGAGCCCGGGGCTGAGCATACAGAACTGCCCAGGGAAGTAAGGTGCACTCAGATGGCACATACACCTGGGAAGATGAGTTTTTCTCAGCTCCACTGCATTTAAACATCTCACCCACAATCACATAATTCTAATGACAAAACACAGCACAACAGAAGAAGACTACTGTTCCAAAAAGGCCAAATAGCACAAGATGGGTTCCCAACACAAATTTAAAGAGAAGGTCAAAAACTTCAGCAGTAAAGCTCAAAGGTTTTTACAGCTGAAAAACTATGTCTAGTGAAATTCAGGAGGTGCAGGTGCAGGAGGAATGCTATACCCAATATTCTGTACCTAGAATTTAAATCTGTTCCATGCCCCAGCTGCTTTAAGAGATCACCTTCACCTCAGCCTGTAAAAAATAGTGTTATTAATATACTGGTATTATGATCAACTCTTGTAACAATATTTTTTTAATCCACTGTTTAATATTTTGGTATCGATAATGGAAGATTCAGCTTGACAAAGGATATGAAAGGCCTCACTTGAAAATCTTGTTCACTTTGAGAACTCTAACACCCATTCCATTTTGCAGTCCCAACAGAATGTGTGAACTTTAAAGTATTTCATTTAAGAAAAATAAATCTACAGTAGAAAAAAACAATCTGTAAAGTTATGCAGAAAGCTAAAACTTGCTTACTCTTCTCCTTCCCAGTTCATACCATCTAGCTTAAACCAGCAGTGAATTATTTTGAAATATACTGGGCTTTAGCCAGCAGTTTAAATGAATATATGTGATTTAGTTCATATTTTCAGGCCTCTTTATTAAATACCTCCCAGTTCCATCTTGCCTAATATTTGATCCAGCAAGTTTAATGACCATTCCTTCATTAAACATTACAAGCTTTTTAAGACCTTGACAGTGCTGCATTTCATCCTATAACCTAGTGCTGCTACAAAGTCAACATTGTGTGCCAAGTTAATCCCTCGTGTCCACTAATTATGTCCAGTGCTGCAGCTTCTTGGGTGAGCCTGAATCAGTGGGGAAGTGCTGGATTTCCAGGCCAATGGATTCGGCACTCCAGCTATATCTCATGTCTTGACACTAGATGTCAGCGAAGGGTAATTGTTGTCTCAATTTAGAGGCCAGCCTAGGTAGCTGCTAGCAACCTCTGTTAATGTTTTATAGCAAAGGTGAAGTATAGCTTAATACAAGCATCTGACATATATTACAATAAAAAAGGATATAGTTGTCTAGTGTTTTTAAAGTCAGTCATAAAAGATGAATAATGATGCAGTTTAAAGCTAAAAGACAGCTGCCAAGCTGAATGGCCATGATGGATGTCTAAACACCCAGTGTAGAGAAAACCTGTTCCCTAGAGACCACCATCCAAAAAATTAATTACTACGATTCAGCATCTTTAAATGTGCCACTTAATATACTGCCACCATAATTAAATTTCCAGCCCTGTGACCTTGAGACCATTTCCTGAGATAATAAATGAGATCAAGGTTTAATCAATGCAGATGCAAGTAGAAACTGTCCGAGGAAGCACAAAACCATCACAATGTAGTCAAGGTCAGGAAAGAAAAACCAAGTGAAGCTGTGAGTCAACACTAATTGCTTTCTTATGATAAAAGATGTTTATTTTAATTTGCTTTATTTGCAAACAGTTCCATTGTGTACTCTCTGACAGCAGCTTTTAAACTCTAGCCACAGATGAAGTCAGTAGAGGGCATATTTGTCTCCTTGTAGATAAGCACTTTCTGTAGCAAGTGAAGCCATATCTGATTGCACACTGAGATCTGATAACCAAGCTCATCACACATCAAACAATGCAGAGACAAGAAACAACTGACTGCCTCAGGTACACTCCTTTCTCTCTGGTGCAAGAAACCAAACAAAAAAGAAGAGACTTGGGGTAGTGATATGGAGATGTGAGGGCTATTTTATGTCCTTTTGAAGTTGGAGTGACACAGAGGGTATGGTCTGACTTCTACTCTTGGACTGTACTAAAATGCAAAATCAGATGCTGTATATACATGTACAAGCTGTCTGATAAACACAGAAGTAGCTGTGTATATATATAAAACCACCAGAAATATGTAACACCACCTAGTAGAGGACCTATTATTTTAATAGAGGTAAATATTATTTGGGCTGTTATCCACTTAATGAGTTGAAGTGAAAGTCTCTGCAGCTGAGCCAAATCTCTTTAATTGTATGCTCTTAGAAAAATTAGAAGCAGCTGATGATGGGGGGGTCGTACACTAAACAAAAATATTCCAACTTTTTGAGACAGCCTTGTTTAGAGGTAGCATTCATTTTATTCCAACAAGTCTAGAGTGGAAAAAAGTTTGTGGTCTGGCATCTAAACCCTCAGAACCTGAAAAAGCACAGAAGTCATCAGTAAGAGAGAAGAGCCTGTGAAACAATGCAGACAATACACCTTTAAATAATAGTACTTAGACATACCGTTTTGTAAAATAGGAATTAAACAACAATATCAATCTTGTCAAAGTTAAATAGATTCAATTATGACCACTGTGAATTCCAAGGTGAAACTGTATCTGATATAGTAGAAATAAGCTGCATAAATACCTCAAGCAAATCAGAGGGCCTGGCATGATATACAGAACCCCAGCAGTGACAGGGAGCTCTGAATTTACTCCATAGTGAGGCCAATGTACAGAAATTTGTACCAAAACCTAAAGAGGACAAAACAAGACAGTGCAGTAACCAAGAGTGATTAGAGAGCTCCAGTCCCAGAGGAGCTCCACAGACGACTCCTCAGGCCCTGTTCCCTGAGCACACGAGTCACAGCACTGAGCACATGTCCAGCAGTCATGGGACTCCTGTGAGTGCAGCTCTTCAAGGGGACATCCTGAAGGTGCACTGAGGGTGATTAAGACAGTTATCTTCTGGTCAAAAGCTACCAACTACCCTGGAGAAAGGGAAAGTGTTGGTAAAACTGTCATGTCTACAAAGGGATGCAACTAAATCACCTCTAGGGCTCAAGCCAGCCATAAGCCTAAAAGATAAGTAGTCCCAGCCTAGAAAAACAAACAAACAAATCAACCAAACCCCCAAGGTATTACTGTCTCAGAACAAGGTCTTCTGGGGGATGGAGATAGACAGTAGAATTTGACTTGACTGAGGCTGAGACAGTACTATAGTGAAAAATCCAAAATTTGTTGAAACTTGCACTTGTTTCATCTTAAGTTGAATGCCGTTAAGTTTGGATTCAAAATATCTGCTGAAGTTAACACTTTCAAAATTTCCATGGACTTTTGTCTACATTCCTGTATTGGTAGGTCAGCGGGGAAATGCCCTCTCCCCGACTTGAAACTTCCTCCTGTCATTCTGTAAGTACCAGTAAGACCTCTAGAGAATGAAAGTAAGGGGAAACAAAGCCTTAACTCTTAAATGACAGGCTGGTGCTGTAAATAATGCACTGTTCTAACACCGTTCCCAGGAAGTCTCATTGCATGACAAACAGTCTGCCAACACTGGCAGTTCCCATCTTTTCTTACTGAAAGATCTATTTAGATGCATCAAGACAACCTGAAGGCCACTTCTGAGAAGAACAATGGGCAGTTTTAAAGGAGAACAGGCAACATTTCAATTACAAATTTCTATTTTACTTTTAGCCTAATTTGGTCTCTTTGTGATAAACAAGATGTTTTACATATGCCTAGTAGTAATAATTGATAGTTCATGCTTCTGTGTGTTATACTTGTTAAAATATTTGCATTTAAAAGCAAAGTTGGACTTCTAGCTCTAGGCTATGCATGTGTCTTTCCTAAGGAGTCTCAACTAGAAGAAACATTTTGAATTATAATTGTCTTCCAAATCTCAAATTAAGAGAGACAGAACACTGTTAACCCTTCACTTAGATCACTTATCTATGTGAAAACAAAATGTGATTTAGGAAAGTTGAGTAGAGACCTAATAGATACTCTGAAATCACTTGACTCTCCCTGTATTCAATAACAAAGATTAGTTACATAAGTACAGATTACTTAGGCTGTCAAGGGTTGGAAGATCAGGCCTCATGTAATTACAGCATTAGAACATATGAGGAGATCAGTTTTGCAGTTAAAAGCTTTATAGCCTGATTCAGAGAAGCAAATTACTTGAAACTTTACAGAAAGCAGTAATAGATTATGAAAGAAGAGATCTCATGTTCAAAACAGCTGCTGAACTACTCACACAAGCTTTCCTTACCTCCAAAAAGCTGTGTTGTATAGAATGCTTGGCCTTAGGGTGCTTTACACTGTATGCATGACAGAAACGTGAAATACAAGAATGCAAATCCAGTGTTTTTAACCGAGGCATCTGTAAGAAAGGATATAACATTTAAATAAGACTTTCAAAAGTGACTTGTTACTTTGGGATGTGCATGGGGAAACATTAAGAGTACTCTTCAAGAGGCTGAGGAGACAGAGACATCTGTCTCTGCTGCTCCTTCTCCTCGGGACCACTCCTCACACTCTTCTCCCTTGCTCCAGCACAGGGTCCCTCTCCTAGAACACAGTCCTGCACAAACTTCTCCAACATGAGTCCAATCCCAAGGCTGCAGTTCTTCACATCCTGCTCCTGATCCCCACAGGGTCCCAAGTTCTGCCACCAAACCTGCTCCAGCGTGGGCTCTTCTCTGCAGGTCCTGCCAGGCTGGTCCTGATTTCCTATGGAGTCATGGCCTCCTTCAGGCACCCTGCTCTGGTCTCCCTCCAGGGGCTGCAGGTGGGTTTCTGCTCCACCACGGACTTCCGTGGGTGGCAGAAAAATCTGCTCTGGTGCTTGAGCATCTTCTCCCTCCAAGTTGGTGTCAGCAGAATTTCTCTCCTGTATTCTCACTCATCTCCCCAGCTGCAATGGCTGTTGTGCAGGTTTCCCTCACTTCTGGAATAAATTGCATCCAATCTGCTGTTGCTGAGCCAGCCCTGGACAGCAGCAGGTCCATCCTGGAGCTGGCTGGCATTGGCTCTAGCAGACATGGGGGAAGCTTCTGGCACCTTCTCACAGACACCACTCCTTGAGCCTCCCACCAAAGCCTTGTCACAGAAACCAAATCTGTTTCTAAACCTGACAGAACTCTGCAGCTGCTGTAGAGCTGGCCCTCCCTCTTCCCTCCCACACTTATGCACTTCTTTAAAGAGATTTTGTGCCAAATCACACCTATTTTAATCTTTCCTGATATTTGCTCCTAGTCAGTAAAAGTCATCTAGAAAAAAAAAAAAATTAAAATGCATCCAGAAAAAGAAATGAGAATGAATTAGCGACTTGACAGTGGCAAGTTATCAAGTACTTTCTTCTGTAGATACAGAAAATCATATTATTTTGTAAGATCATTTTGAGGTATACCAGGAAAAAATAGTGTAGATTAAATAATTTGCAATGTTATTCTTTGGTCAAGCAAAAGGACATCAGTGTATATATATGATGCACTATATCCAACTGAGGGCCTTGCCCACAGTGTCCCAATCAAAAAAATGAAGTTTTAATTAGCATTGAAATACTTAACTGTCCTTGACAAATATGGGCACCAACATGTTTTGCTGGAATAAGAGACTTTTTATTAATAGATTCCTGTTTCACATCCTCCACTGAAGATGAGAGAACTAAGTGCTTACAGTGAAACAGTAGGGAGGCTTATTAAATCAATACACATCTGTTAGATAATGGGCTCTAAGTCAAGAATGTTATTCTGAAAACCTCTCAGCAAAATGCTGCTTGTTTGGCACTGCTTTCTTACAGCTATTCCCTTGTTGAAGAATCCCCTCCAGAGCTGACCATCTATTTTGTAGTGTTCAGTTCCTAACAAGCGTGTCCAAACATCTCTGCCAAATGGAAAGGATTCTCCAAAAATCTCAGACAATATTCTCAATTACGCCAGCAAGTGACAGCAAGAGGCTGTGAAGTTTAAATCTCTTCATCCCACAACAGAAGGTAAAGGCCTTAAGAACACTATGTAAGCTAATGGGAGCCAAAAAATCCCCTATACCAGTTGCAATATACAGTGAAGAATTTGTAATGACATCTTGAAATACGACAAAATTAGACACAGATATATAGCAACACACAAATATAAAATATATTAATGTATTAAATATACATTATATGACACATGTTCCTCAATTAAAAATACTTCACTTCCATATCTTTTGGGACATGTGGGCCCTTCGTGTGTATGAGCAGCATCTCTCAGCTCAGTCAGCAGACACTGTTCCTAAGCATTCCACCTCTCTCTTACAAAGCCTCTCCAAAAGAGTCACTTACCAGGCTGTGTGTGCACTCTCATCTTTTTTCTGTCTTGCTAATTTTTGCTACAAACTGTGTGAGGCAAAGATTGCCCCTTGCAGTACCTATGAACGGCTCAGCAATTTCATTTAGGGTCCCTGGGCATTATTATAATAAATCTGAGTAAAATAATATTTACCTGGTTAGAGATGGGTAAACATCCTAAAATAAGCACACCTCAGTTCCTAGCTGGTGTGCCTGTATTACTTCAGAATGGAACAATAAAGAAACTTAAAAATTAACGTATATTTAATGATGTAATTGTAATGAAGAGAAGCAAATTGCAAAGCAAGATGCTCTGAAAAAATGGCAGAGAATGCAGTGATCAGCTTATGCTTGTGACACTTCACTCACCCATGGTATTTCCACGATAAAGCATACATTTGACTGCTTCTGTAATACTTGAATTTGTGTTTTACAGCATGCAAATGTTTTTTCCGTAGTAGGAAAACATAAATGAAAAATATACATGTAAGGCTGTCATCTACTGACTCACCATGGCAATTCCTCATACAGTGGCTTCAGTGATAGCACTGAGCATGGGCAGAAAAACATAAGGGATGGCTGATGTTTGCACACTAAACAGTGTGAATCATAACGTGATATCAATATTAATCTATCCCTCACAAAATCTTAAGGCCTTTTCATTTAATGAATAAGATGCTGCACAACAATAATCTGTACTTTTCCAAATTAGCCACAAACCATCTGGTTTCTCTCCAATTACTTCATTTTTTTTTCCCTATATCTCTAAATGTTACTGACCTAAAAAAGATTTCATCAAAGGCGGTAGGAATCCTAACCCCTCTAGCAACTATTAAATTGGTCCACTCTGTGTCCTGTGCTGACAAATCATTATACTCCAGAGCCTTACAATCCACGGTAGTATCTCAATTAGGGATAAAGATGAAGCAACAGCATTCCAAATTCATCCATCCATCTAAATTTATTCTTAAATAAAACAAAAAAAAAATCAATATACAGGGATCCCTAGTTGGTCATTGCTAAGTTCATCCATAACAAAACACTGTTTCTGCAGTAAACAAATCAAGTGGTTTCAAAACAACAGTTTAAAGTTATGTAAAGTGTCCTGCCTAAGTTTAATGACATTGGAAACAGCCTAGTCTTCCTTTTTCTTTTGTTTTCTTCCATTTTGCATTGTACAAAAGTGTAGCATTTAATTTAATTTAAAATTTTAACATAATTTTTATTTTAATTTAGAATTTACCTTGGCAAGGGCTATGCTTCATGAGTGAGGGCAGAGGTAATACATTCTGAAATTCAGGGTATCCAGAAAACAATAGAGAAATTACTGAAAAAATACATCTGCTAAATTCTATTGATTTCTTAATTTTTCTTAATTTTAGACATCCTAGTATAGAGAGAAGGGTCCAGCTTAGCCCTTCCATTTCTAATGCTAAAGCTATTCTTAAATGTGTCATAAGGACCAAAAAATTTATTTATAATTTTGGCACTAAAACACTGATATCACGTGCCAACTGCTCAAGAGATTTCAAGTGAAGTTGGAAGTGAAATGAGATTTTCTTTTTTTGTCTTTTAATAAGCAAATACACACATGGCTGAGCCATGCTGTCTAATGCTGAACAAGAATGACCAAACAATAATAACTATTCTGCATTTCATGGCTCTGACAGTCTTTTTGCACTCCCTTTTATTAGAGCATGTCAGCTTAGACTACAAGAAATTCTCCTTTAGGCAACAAACATTCTCATTTGTCTCTGTATTTGGGATACTGGGAGCCAACCAGTAGAAAGCTGCTTACAGTGACAGCTTTTCCACATTGTTTTGGCACATCATCCCCCACCTGACTAGGCTAAAACAATCATGATTTTAAACACAACTCCGGATGGGTTCCATAGGCAACTACATCCCATAACTCTCTGGGTACTTTGAACTTGATGAGGTGCTCAACATATTTACTGGACTTAGATTCTGTTCTAGTGAATTTTGAGACAGTGCTGAAGACACCTTAAAGATTTGATAGCTTCCTGAACTCAGATGCTTGTTAAAGTCTGTAATTCACCTATTTCTCCTTATCTTACAGGTGCCTCAATGAACACGACTATTGCAAATTAAATTTGAAACAGTCAGTAGTCTGTCATCCCATAGTGGGAATTTTCTGCTTATGTTTTACCAGTATCTTCAATTTAGCCATCAATTTTTTGTTTCAAAGGACTTAGCAGATCCCCCACACACACTAACTTCAGTAGCAGACCAAGTGCTGATCTAATTACTAACTAATCTGATCTAATTACTGACAAGCTGTCAGTCTAGGAAGGTTAGGTAACTGTAGGTATAGTTATTTCCACTAGCTCTATCCTTTTGAAATAAAACAGAGGTTGAGAGAAAACATTATCTTTAGATAACTCCAAAATGAGGGTGCAGCTAGCTGCCCACCCCACCCAGTGGCATTTCATGCATTTCAAGCCATGACCACTTTAATGCACCACACCCAGACCATGCTGTTAGCTTGGCACTCCTAAAAGGGGAGCACTAAAATGACATGCCATGGTGGGCACGAAGGAAAACATTTAGCTTCAGAAAAGGAATACTCTAGTTGCTAGACAAAGATCAATTAATTCATTTTGCCTTTTCAAAGTAAAGTACAAGCCACATTAATGCTGACAGTTCATCCAGGTGGGGACCATGCCATTAATGGTTTACCTGCAGCTTTACAGTCATCTTAAGATGTGGCTGCTGTCTGTTGCTATGTTGTTACTTGTTCACTAAAAGAAACACTATAATTTTAATACTAGAATTTTTATTCTGAATAAGCTTTTTTCAGTCAATGCAGTGTCCTATGTATTGGTGGGTCAAAATTCATAACAAATTTTAAGTTATCTTCCTAATAGATATGTACAAGGAAATGCTACACTGTATTCCAGTGCTGTGGAACAGGAAGTCTTACCACAGTTCTTCTTTGGCCAAGTGATTTTTTGATTCTAGGATCATTAAGCTGTTTTTTCCCCTCTGCAGTTCAGAACTAATTCTTCTAATAGTAACCCCACATTTTG